TTGTTGTAGCAAAGACCTGGAAACAAAACATAGGTGGCTTTTAACTGGGGAATGGCTAAACAAATTGTGGTATATTAATGTTATAGGATTTTGTGGCACCATAAATAATGGTGATTGATTGACTCAGAGAAATATGGAAAAATTTATGAGCTGATACAAAATGAAATAAGAATAATTTACATAATAGTTACATTAATAGTAAGAGAGGAAAAAACTTTGAAAGACCTCAGAACTCTGACCAAACAGCCAGTCATGACTTCAAAGATTTGTGATTAAAGTTACTTTCCACCTCTTGGCAGAGAAATAGAGCTAGTAAGTGTTATGTGTCTGAGGCTGGATTTGAACTCAGGTACTCCTGACTCCAGGGCCAGTGCTCTATCCACTTCGCCACCTAGCTGCCCCAACTCTACATTTGTTAAAGAGGAGGAAGTCTACTTGGGAGGTAGATGTCGCGGCGGGGGGGGGGGGGGGGGGCTTCAAAAAAAAAATTTTAAACACATGGAAGAAAACGAAAAGAAATGCAGACAAGGATGTATATAGACTTAAACTTGACTTTTTTTTTAGCAAACTAATAATATGTGTGTGTGTGTTTTTTGTGTATATATAAAATCCTTTTTTCTGTTCTTTTTATCTTGAAATGTTAATGTTTGTCAATTGATAAATTCATAATTAAAAGAAATATTTCTTTTTAAAGAAGTATAGGAGGAGATACTTTGGGAAGATGGCCAAGTGAGATGTCCTGGAGGCAGCTCTCCCCTCACCACACTAAGTAGGAGAGGTGAAAACAATGAAATGCAGAACACAGCAACAATAGAAGGGGAAAAAATGAAAGAACCTGCTACAGTAACTCTTACTGGAAAAATTAAGATCTGTTCCACAGCCCATAGTTTTTGGCACTAGAAGCCCTTGTGTTTTCCTAATTCCAACGGTGTCTACTGACCCTGCGTACTCCTTAGGTTTTATCAGTTTTAGGCAGCTTTTGCAGTTAACTTCAGTAAATTCCTCCCTGGGGTGGCACCGCTTCCTAGGGCAGATTTGGGCCTTGTGCTGGATATTTTGGAGGAGAGGAAACACCAGAAATGCAGTACTGAAAAAGAATACCATGTTTCTAGAAGTCACATGGAAAAATTGCTCAGAAATAGTGAGAGCAGATTGCTAAGTATAGATCAAGAGAATCCATAGAACACTGACGGAAACTCCAGATTTAATTCACCAAGAAATCTTGTGGTCAGATTTCATAATTAAACTATCAAAGAACAACTTTTATATGTAGCAAGGAAAAAATATCAGATTTCAAGGAGAATTAACCAGAAGAACACAACATTGCCCTGTGGTTACAAGAAATCGGGGGGGGGGGGGATAAAATTTGATACTCCCATAGACCAAGGGAAATTGGTTGTCTCCTCCAGAATAAAATACTCTGTGGCAGAGCCTAAACATCCAAGAAATTAATTGAACATTCAGTAAGAGGGAAAAATTTGAATCTCTTCTTCAAAAGAAATCAGAGGTGAGCGGGTTATTAAGTGCAAGTTACCTGGCCGGAGGAAGTTAAATACTTCCAGACTAAGAAAGGAAATGTTTGTTTTCACATAGCCGGGACTGACTGACTGAACGAGGTCATTGAATGTGTGGGTGGGGATGTTTGATTTTCAGTAGAACAATACATTTTTTTCAGTATCTCGGTGACAGAAGGCACAGGGAACACTAGTGCACTAAAGAATCAATCTTAGGATTAAGCAGCAGAACAGGATCATTCAGGATAGGAGGTGGAAGAAGTGAATTAATTCAGAGAACAAAATCGTATCCTTAATAAACCAATGTTAATGGTCCGATAATACAGAAGAACGTTTTGTATGTGAGGAGAGTGCAAAGCAGGTAGAGAAAAGGGTCAGGAGACCAGGTAGTGATCAGGAAAGACTTGAGAGAAGCGGATAAGGGACTTCTGTATGTTCCTCTTGCCTTTTATATGGGAGAACAGTAAGGGCAGAACATAGTGAGGAAGATTACATAAGGAGAGGGAGTCTGGTTACAGACAGTAGACAAGAAAGGATGTGGCATCATCTCAGTGATCCCGTGCAGGCAGGAATGGCTGAAATAAGCAACTACCTGTGGTTGCTTGATGGTTTGGATACTTCAGGAGATGGACTTTTTTTAAGTAAGAAGGGGTTGTGCATCTTTGTGCTAACTTTCACTGAGGGGAAGAAATGGTTGGAACCCTGGGAGGTTACACATTGGAGAGAGTTGAACAAGAGGTCCTATGTTGGAAAGGGAGGATGAAGACAGAAATCAGTAGGGATAAGTGAGAGGGGAAAAGACAAGAAATAGGATCTAACTCCTTTGTCAAGTGTTTTAATCTGCATTTGTGTTATTTTTAGTGATTTAGAGTAGTGTTTCATATGGTTGTTAAGAGTTTGTCAGTCTTGTTTTGAATGTTGTTTCTTCTTGTCCTTTGACCATTTGCTCATTGGGAATGGCTGATCAGAGATGTTTGATACAAAGATTTTTCCCATTCATCTGCTTCCCTACATATCACAGAAAAATTTTCATTTATGTGATAGAAATTATCTTTTGTCTTTTTTGATTGCCTCTAACCATTGTTTGGTTAAGAATTCTGCTGTGGCTGTCTTTAAAAAGAAACCTGATCTGGTTCTCCACCAGTGTTTTTATGGTGTAACTTTTTAAATAGTTAGGTTATGTATATCCATTTTGAGGTTATGGTGGCATATGGTTTAAGATGTTGATCTAAATCTAATTTCTGCTAAGTTACTTTCCAGTTTCCTCAGCAGCTCTTTTCAAATAAGTTCTTCTCCAAGTAAAAATAGATAAACCTGGTCACAAAAAAAGAAAATAAAATCAGTAATTAAAAATGAACAAGGTTTGAGAAGTAAAATGCATTATTGAAATCTGTTATACATAATTTTATACTAGCAAAATAGAAAATTTATAAGAAACAAATAATTACTTAAATAATAAAATATACAAATTTCCAGAGCTTAAAACTGAGATGTTAACCTACTCTCAGCAAATAAAACTGTATAATAAGTCATAAAGGAATTCCTGGAGGAAAATTCACTTGATGAAGTTGGATTTATACTAAGCAGGTTCATCATTAGGAAGATAACATAATTAATTGTATTATAAACAAAAAACATCCCAAATCACGTAATTATGTCAATAGATGCAGAAAAGACTTTTGGCAAAATACTTTTTTTTCCCCTAAAAAGCATAGTCTTTGAAGGGTTATCTTAGTCAGTTAAAAAAAACGAAACAAAACACTATAGAGCTAGCATTACTTGCAATGGGGAAAACATCAGAAGTTTTCCTGGGAAACATGGCTAAAGCAAGGATATCTGATCTCCCTAGTATTATTTTTCATAATGCTTGAAATGCTAGTAGTAGCAATAAAAAGAAATTAAAAGCAATAAAATTGTCAAAGAGGAGATAGAATTACCCTTAGTTGCAGATGATAAAATGATTTACTTAGAAAATCCTAGATCAGTGAAGGAATTGAGAAAATTATTAGCTTCAAAAAATTACATGATAGAAAATAAGTACACGATTATCAATTCTCTGTAGCAAGAACAAATCCAGGAATAAACAACAGAAAAGAAATTCCATTCAAAATAACTACAAGGTACCTAAAATATCTGGGAATCAGTCTGCCAAGAATATGATCAGACATATAGTTATAAATATAAAACATTCTTTAAAGAAACAAGAATGTGTTGAACATTTGGAAGGATGTTAATTCCTCATGTTGAGATAACTTTTATTTTTTTAAGTGCAAGAAGTCCATGTGGGATTGAGAGACATTTGGAGTTATTTTTTTTCATGGGTTGTGATGGCCTAAAACTCCATTACCAAAAGGTGGCCTCCCCAGTGAACATTTTAATGCTGGCAATTTTTGATATTGAAGTATTTTACAAAGTAAAAAAATACAACTTACGGTATTGATAATATTGTTGGACTTTGGTAAGTGAGAGACCATAGTGTGTGGTCCTTATTGTCTCCACCCATAAGAATAGGTTCAGTAGATGGTCCCAGCCTTTGTCAGGCACATGGTTAACCCCACATTGTGTGTCCTTAGGGATATCAGTTAAAGTTAAACATTTCTGTAGGAATAGAGACTTCCAGGGCAGCTAGGTGGCACAGTGGATAGAGCACTGGCCCTGGACTCAGGAGGACCTGAGTTCAAACCCCGCCTCAGACCAAACACTTGACACTTACTGGCTGTGTGACCCTGGGCAAGTCACTTAACCCCATTACTAGCAGAGCACTAAAAAAACATAAAATTGGGATAGTAATACTTGTATTAATAACTACCTCATCAAGTTGTTGTTAGGAAAGTGCTCTGCAAACATCAGAGCACTATGTGAAATATTTATTTTTAAAAGTGTTTACGTCTCCTACTGCTAACATGTCTATAACCCTTTAAGGTTTACAAAGAGTTGTACATAGGTTGTCTCAGTTTGATCCTCACAACAACCCTCTGAAGTGAGCACTATTATGCCCATTTTACAGATGAGGAAACTGAGGCTGAAACAGGTTAATTGACTTGATCCAGGGTCACACAGTTAGCAGGTGTCTGAGTCAGGATTCTTCAGGTCCAGCATTCTATCCTGCTGCCACCCGGTTGCCTATAAGTAAGGAAAATGAGATTCAGAGAAGTTACTTATTTCAAGTTCTGACTTCAGGCTTTTTCCATCACATGTGTGGATCATTGGCATCACGGCTGGGACCTTGGCAGGGCTACAAATGCTGGTACATACCTCAGCGGCTGATAGCAGTCTCCCAAGTTTCATCATTTTGCTTCTGCTTGAGAATTCAGGGGTAGGGGTGTGGGAAGGCTGAACTTTCAGTAACTTCAGGGAGGATTTTGAAAAACCTCTCCTTCTCTTTTGGGGAAAGGGATAAATCTTGAGAGTATGTTTTTCCCCTTTGCTTTTTTGTGACTATTTTATTTTCTCCTAACTACCATTTATTTTATTATTCACCAACAGGTTGTTAAGAGGGAGGACATTCAGCAATTCTTTGAAGAATTTCAGTCAAGAAAGAGAAGGCGGCTAGATGGGATGCAATATTACTGCAGCTAGAATGGCATAGATAAGCTTTTTATTTCAGGCCAAATGGGAATGCTGCTGTTCAATGAATAAAGGAGGCAGATTTCTAACTGTTTGGTCCCCTTTTCACTATGCCCCTTTCCAAGAGGACTTCTCCAGCCTTCTGCTGTTACTACATGCCATTACTTTAATGACCAGAATGCATATTCTAATTTCACTACCAGTGATCCTCATTGTGAACTCAGTTCAATGTAACTCTGGTTTGTTGACTCCCATTCCCCACCCCTGGTGTCAATTGGTTTTAGGTTTTAGGGAGTTCGATTTGGTTTTAAGAAAAGGTTGCCAGGATAATAGCCCCCTTTCTGCTGCCTAGTACTATAAGCCGGGTATTAACCCTGTTAAATTTTGGTGGTTGTTTACAAAGTGCTTTGGATTTTTGATATTATCAGGGATACTTATGAGCCTACATTGAAAACTGACCTACTTTGATACTGTTGTGTTTTAGAAATACTGTTATCAGGATCCCAGCAAATTATGTTCTCTCCAAACCTGGGCTGAAGCAAGTATATCCATGGCAGACTATCTTACTGGCGGTGAGCTTTGCGACCGGGGCAGCGTGTGCCGCATATGGAAGGGGACAGACTTTATGAAAATGGATAGAAAGAAAGATTTTGTGCTCATGGATGATTTTTTTTTTAATGTAAGGAAAAATTGACACCCTTTCAACTATGATGGCATCTCCTTTGGAAGCTGGTCAGGTTTCCTACGTTTGTGAAATGTGAAGCTCCATGGAAAGCCATTTCAGTTAGTAGGAAGTTCCCTTGACAGCTTCCCACCTCCCCTGGTTTTTGTGGAGCAAGAGCATTCATTGAGAAGTATGTAGCCTTGAATCAGTGCCTCCCTCTATGTGAATCAGATTCTTCCTGGAAATAGATGATGGATGTGTTTTAAGACACATTAACTGCTTTGGGTTTCTTAAGGCCCTGATGACAAAGTATGCTCACATAGAGGCCACATAGGTTCAGTAGGAACTCAGTTTTGGCATGCCCACTCATGACTAGTATCTTAGAGTTAAGTTAGGCATTGGGCCTAGAATAAATCAAACTGCCTTTTCAAGTGGTTCTCCTATCTGCAGCGGTGGTCTTTGGCTGGTAGATCCTCGTGCTTTCTGAACCTCAGGAGGGCTCACCACACAGCCGTGACACTTAGCATTCCTTGCAAGAGTGAGGATTCTGCAGGAGGCCCTGCCACGGTCTGTTAGAGCTAAGGCTCTCAGGACTAGTTAGGAGGGCCAGGGTGACTGGTGGTTGTGGCTAGGACAGACTTGTAGGTCTGTGTACTTTCATTTTTCAGATAACAGGATCATAGAATTTAGAGTTGGAAGAGACCTTAGAATTTATCTAAGCCTTTCATTTTACTGGTAAGGAAATAAGGCCAGAGAAGCTAAGTGACTTGTTACAGGGTCACAGGTCATAAGTAAACAGCAGAATTGAGATTTGAACTCAGGTCTTCTGACTCCAAATTCTGTGCTTTTTCTACTAGTCTGACAGTTTTTGGTTTGTGTGTTTTTTTAACCTGTGGTCCAGGGCTGTATCTCCATGTGGCCTAAAAGTTTGCCTCTTTCATTCAACAAACTTTTATTATCAAAGTACCTAAGGTGTGTAAATTCAGTGGCAGGGACTGGGAATACAAAATCTGGATAAGCCATAGTCCTGCCAGTTATTTCTGACCCAATGCCCCAAAGTAACTTACTCACCTGGCAGGGACAAAACCCACCAGGTCTGAGACTGGTCGTCCACAGAACAAATTGCCACTAGTGCTGAAGAGCTTGTTTGATGAAAGGCACTGTTCCTTCCTTAACATTGACCAAAAAACTTCTTTTATACCTGTTGTTCACAGCTCCTTTTCTGACTGACTTTACTGGGCCACCTCTCCTCACAGAGACTAATTTTGGTCAAGATGCAAATGTGCTCAGCGCATGTTTTATGCAAGAGAGGAATATGATATTAGTTGCTTTAAAAACAATAAATTCTGGTATTGTATGTGCATTTTTGTAGAAATTGTTACTGGAATTGTAACTACATACTTAATTTCAATCAAGATTCTGTAAAAATTTAAATAAAACATTCAGAAAAGATCTGTGTATTATATCTTCTTCAAATGAACTTTTTTGTCTTTAATAACTATGCAACCAAGCCTCCCTATTGCAGGAAGTGATCATTCACATCAATCTAGTACTTTCCAGAGTTATGAAGTGTTTTTCTCAAAAGGATCATTGTTGAGGTAAGTCTTCCCTCTTGAGTCCATCCCTCCAGACCTACTAACATAATATTCTGATAGCACCAGTCTTACCACATCCCTTCCCTGTACAAAGAAACTGGTGCCATCCAAAACTCATCTGTTCAGCCTTTCATGACCTGGCTCCAACCACCCTATCAGGCCTTATGCATCACTCCCCTTCATGTGCTCTTCAGTGCTGCCAAAATGGTCATGTTCCTGTGTGGCATTCCTGCACTTCCTTATCTGACCTGGTGGAATCTGACGCTCAGCTCAGGTGCTACTTACAACATGAGACCTTTCCTGATCCAATTTGTACATTGTTTTTTGGTATATCCTTAGACATGCATACGTTACCCCCAATAGAATGTATACTTAGAGGCAAGAGCTTCTAAATTTTGTTTCCTAGCATTGTGTCTGACAAACGTTTGCTGACTGAGCGGGGAAAGGTATCGTTTCTGTTTTACAGATTAAAAAAACAGAATCAAGGGGTGGAGTGACTTGCCTATGGTCAAAGCTGGCAGAGCCAGGATTTGAGTCCCAACTTAAATTATTTTTCTGCTGTCTCATGCTATCTCTTTAGTATGTCCATACTCCTATTTGAGCTTTTTCATTCTTTTTTTTATTAATATATTTTGAATTATCAACAATCACTTCCATAAGCTTTTGAGTTTTAAATTTTTCTCCCACCACCCCTCCCCAAGATGATGCACAATCTGATATAGGCTATACATATGCATTCCTATTAAACATTTTCACATTAGTAATGTAAGTAAGAATTAGAACCAATAGGAGGAACCACCAGAAAGAGGAAACAAAACACAACAGAAGGGGAAAAAATAGCAAAAGTATGCTACGATCTGCATTCAAACTCCATAGTTCTTTGTGGGTAGCATTTTCCATCATGAGGGCTTTGGAGATGTTTTAGATCCTTGTGTTGCTGAGAAGGGTTAAGTCTGTCAATATTAGTCATTGCACAGCGTGGCTATTCCTGTGTACAACATTCTCCTGGTTCTGCTCACTTCACTCAGCATCAGACCATACAAGTCTTTCCAGGTTTTTCTGAAGTCAGCCTGCTCATCATTTCTTACAGCACAATAGTATTCCATTACATTCATATACCACAACTTGTTCAGCCATTCTCCAGTTGATGGGCATCCTCTCAATTTCCAATTCTTGGCCACCACAAAAAGGACCTCTTTTATTCTTGACATGAATAGCAAACGAGTTGTTTCAGATAATCAAAAGGGGAGAGTTAACAGTGTTAAGGCACTGTCTTCACTTTCCCATTGTGTCATGAAGCCCAAGTGGCTCAAGGTCCAAGGGAAATGTAGCTACATTACCCTGGCTTCATCTATCCTAAATGAAAGTGTCCGTTACCCAACTATAAGGACAAGGAGGAGCCCATAGATAGCCATATCTGTTACAATCAGTTGTCCAGGACCAAGTGCTGTGTTTACACTACTGACTTAAAGGTCATGGGATCAGAGGATTTAAATTCATACGGTATTTTATAGTTGGAAGGGACCCCAGGCGTCCATCTAGGCCAACCCATATCTAAAAGGAAACCTCCATGTGACATGCCCACCCAGTTGTCATCCAACCCCTGCTTGAAGGTACCCACTGAGGGAGAATCTACTACCAGCTAAGGCAGCTCATGCCACTTTTGGGCAACTCACATTGTCAGGAAGTTTCTCCAAACATTTCCCTTGTTTGCCAACCTTGAGTAAATTGGAAAATATTCAGTCCCATGCTCTCAATCCCATCAACCAGTTGCTGCACCCAAAGATCCCAAAATGGTTGGAGCCAATACCTCTTCACTGCCCACCAATCACCATCCTGCAACTCCAGAAAGGAGGAAGCATCTCTAACACATCAAGGACGGGAATTTTCCTATACTGAAGGGAAGGCTGGGAAGCTATTTTTGGAGGAATGGTAATTTACATTTGCATAATACTTAAAGAATTATGAAGGCTTTCCCTCAAGGCATCTCTATTGAGTTGTCAACTCTTTGATCCATCCTCCCTACAGAAGCCACACTACTACCCAATTTGGACGCAGATTTGTTGACTATATTCTGCTCCCATCTATAGCTAACTGGTTAAAAGAAACATCCTCCAATAAATCTCTTTTGGACTCATAAAATCTTGAGCAAAATCATGGATGAATTCTTAACCATTTTTGTGTTAGACCCTTTTGGAAGTCTAATGAAGCATATGGATCCTTTCTCAGAGTTATGTTTTTAAGTATTTAAAATTTCAGTGGGAGGTTAGTGAAGATAAAGATGCAATTTTATTTTCTAATCTAATTTCATGGAATCCATGAAATCTATCCATGGACCCAAGGTTAAGAACCCTTGCTCTAGAGTGTGGATGTAGAAAAGATGAAATGGGCAAGAGAAGAAACTGATTAAATCTCCTTAAACTCCCACATAAGCCCTCATTCCATTTACTGCAGTGAATGTTCCTAATTTAAGTATTCCTTATTCCTGGAAGCGTTGCCTCTTGATGCAGCCCAAATTCATAATATAAACCTCTCTTTATAATATAAGCTCTATAAGTCACTGGGTATTTAAGGATGAAGAACAGTCCCTGCCTCCCAGGAGATGACTTTCTACTGTGATTTAGAGCTGGGGTGTGATCATTTTTTTTTTTAATTTAGTGAGGCAATTGGGGTTAAGTGACTTGCCCAGTCACACAGTCACACAGTTAGGAAGTATTGGATGTGATCATTCTTAAGAAACTCACAGTTTATGGCAGAGACAGAGTACAAAAATCATGGTTGTTTCTAAAATAGTTAAAAAAAAAAAAAGGATGAATACAAAACCTACAGCAGGAAGAATACAGGGACCTGAGTCTCACAGTAGCTCTCACTACCCTCCAGGGACTTCTTTAGGTTGCTAATGATGATTTCTTTCTAAAAATTTTTTAAAAGAAAAGGAAGCCAATGTTTGAAAAGTACTTTAAGATCTTTACTTGAAAGGTGCTATATATGTAATATTCTAATTATTAAGCACGTGTGATGTCAAATAATATAGCCCAGTATATGGAACTTCTTTTAAAGGAACATTTGTGTCTTGGTGGTGGGAGGACCTTAAGTTGGACCTTTATTTGTATTACAAAGAAGGAATACTCCTAAACCCACTTAAAAGCTCCTTAGAGCTGTGTTTATGATTTACAGTGATTTGGAGTTACTTTTAGTTACTGTTCTTTTCAGGTTTGATGAAACATGAAAACTCAAGGGGGGCTTTTTGTACCCACGTGGGAAAGTTCTCCTTATTTTTTCTGTCTTGGTTATAAACTTGGTTATAAACAGTTATTTTCTCCCCAAATCTAATAAAACAAAGAGACTTTTACCTTGGTTATTTTATTAGTTTATGACACAGTGATTCTGAATATTGAGTTAATGTTTTTAGTTGCTGAAAAAAATGTTATTTTGTATATATTTGTCCTCATATTAAAAAGTACAAAGAATCGTAATTTATGGTGATTTCTTCATTTTCCTTAACATGATTTCAGGTATTTACAAATGTAGTAACTGAATTTAAAAGGTTTTAAGCATTTGTTTCAGGATGCTATACTTATTAAAATTACAATATAGCTGATATGTGAAGCACAAATAAATTCTTTGAAGGTTACTATGTTGTCAGTGTTTTCCCATGAAGTCTGAATATCAAGTTAAATAAGAGTACAGTCAAATAAATAAATAAATAAAAAGAAAGGGGGGGGGAACTCAGTGTAGCAAAACTAAGCTAGTACATAAACTAACTCCATCATAGGCAAGGTTCTACCCCACTTCTTTGAAGAAGGGAGGAAAATGCATTTTCATAGCTTTTCTTTGGGACCCAGGCCAAGCCCCACTTGGTCATTGTTTGGATGAATGTACAGAATGAATGTAAATAGCAATTGTTTTTGTTTTGGCCAGAAATCCCCTCCCAGATTGATTTTTTTTTTTGGACTAGGTAAAAGAGGCCGTTCTCTGCCTCTCCAACATAGCCTTAATCACCTAATGGGCATTTCCCTAGTCAAACTGAGACCTATTAAAGACCTTAGCTTAAAAAGGCCAAGGTGCCTAAAAAAGGCTATTGCATCCAGGGGCCATCTCCAGTAGTCCTGATCTGTATCTGGCCACTGGATCCAAATGGCTCCAAAGGAGAAAGTGAGGCTGGTGACCTTGCACAGCCCTCCCTCACTCAAATCAAAGTCAATTGCAAATCATATCATCATCTCCCTGATGTCATGGTTCTCTTCGAGAAGGAAGGATAAACAACAACTTTGGGACAACCAATTTTTTTTTGGAGGGAATTGGGGTTAAGTGACTTGCCCAGGGTCACACAGCTAGTAAGTATATGAAGCCAGATTTGAACTCAGGTACACCTGACTCCCGAGCTGATGCCCTATGCCTTGTGCCACCTACCTGTCCCAACGGGCCACCAATTTTGAGCCATGAAAACATGAAAATTTACATCTATGATGAACTATACAAGGTGTTTTTTTTCCCTCCT